TGCTTTTTATTATTTATTGGATATACAATTGATCTTTGGGCATAATTTCTGCTTCTCAATTTCTTACCCTTTCAGGATGATCATTGTCTCCAGTTCTGCTTTTAGCTTGCTCGTTCACCTTGGAAATCCATTCATCTTCCAAGTTAGCACTTTTAGACCTTACACTTATTTACCTCTACATTTCCAAAAGGTCAAATGGCTCAGGATTCTTCAATTTTCTCTTTGTGCTAAGCATGAACATATTTCAGGGCCCTCTGTTGAGCTACCAAATTAAACTTGGAGACTCCAGAGGTCACTTCCAATCCAAATTATTCTGTGAGTCACAAAGTCTGATGATCTGCTCATATCACATCCAGTTAAATCAGGTTGCTCAGGAACTTGTCCAGTTCAGTTTCAGGTGCATTTAAGGATGGAAATTCCACAGTCTTTGAACAACCTGTTCTAACATTTTGCTGGTTGTAATTTGAAAAAAGCAAACAACAAAACATAAATTTGTCCTATATTAAAGCAGAACTTCCTGTGTCGACTTGCATTGACTCTCATCCACTCACTGTACCTTTGAATCATGGAATCAACCAGGTTGGAAAAGACCTCTAAGATCATCAAGTCCAACCCTACCATGGTTACTAGACCATTAGTCTTATCTTAAAAACCTCCAGGGATGGTGAATCCACCACCTCCCTGGGCAGCCCATTCCAATGCCTGATCACTCTCTCTGTAAAAAATCTCTTCCTAATATCCAACCTAACCCTCCCCTGGCAGAGCTTGAGTCTGTGCCCTCTTGTCCTGCTGCTGGTTGCCTGGGAGAAGAGACCAACCCCCACCTGACTCCAACCTCCTGTCAGGGAGTTGCAGAGGGTGAGAAGGTCTCCCCTGAGCCTCCTCTTCTCCAGGCTGAACACCCCCAGCTCCCTCAGCCTCTCCTCATAGGACCTGTGCTTTGAGAAGCACCTTACTCCATCTCTTCTGTACCTTCCAATTGGGTGTTTCAAGACTGCAATGGCATCTCTACCTTTAGGTGCTTGTTCTTTAAGGCTGAAAGAGCTCAGTTCTCTCTGCTTCTCATGTGCCATGAACTCCAGTCCCTCAAGCATTCTGATGACCTTTCACTTGCTTAGGCATGTTTCCTTTTTCATATTGGGGAGTCCAAAGCTGGATGCCTTGTTCCAAATGTGTTCTCTCAAATGTAGAATAGAGGGAATAATCACTTTCCCTCACTTGCTGGCTGCATCGTGGCTGTTTCAGTCCAGCATGCAGTTGTTCACCTTTCTTGCAAGGGCCAATCACTAGCTGCTGTTAACTTCTCCACTAGTTCCTTTTCTGCAAAGCTCCTTTCCAGCCAGGATCTCCCAGGCTGCACTGAGAGTTGTGAGTCTCTCCTGAACTGCATGAGGCTCCTGTCAGCCCATATCTCCAGCTTGGCAAGTTCTCTCTGTATTGAAGTTCTGCCCTACTGTTTGCCCCAGTTTGGTATCACCCTGGAAATTTGAGAGTGCACTATCAGTCCTCCATGCTGTTAATGAAGACACGAGTGTTGTCCCCCTGGGGGACACCACTAGTGGTGGGCAGCCATCTGCCTTTTGCTCATCACAGTCCTGTGAGCCTCACTGTCTGGCTGATCTTCCACCTGCTTTATAGACCAGCTATCCAAACCTTACCAGTTTGGCTATAAGCATTCTGAGGGAGCCCATGTCCTAAGATCTTTTGAAAATAAAAATATACAACATCCACTGCTGTTCCTTTGCCCACTGAGCTAGTTGTCTCATCAGTGAGGTTGCCAAGGACTCGTTTATCCTTGGTAGATCAATGTGTGCTGTTCCCAGACACCTTCTTTCACTTCATGTGCTTCCAGAAGAATTTCTGTATAGCCTTTCCAGGGAGCTGATGTTGATGTGCCTGCAGTGGTACTTATTTCTTCAAGAAGGCTATGATATACCCTTTTCCACAGCCATTAGAAACCTCCCCCAGTTGGCATGACCTGTTGGAGGTGACAAGAGAGTGGTCTCACATTGTCCAACTTTCTTGCCATCAATGGATACATCTTGCCTGGTTTTGTGGTTTTGCATCCAATTGGATTAAGTGCTTTTTATGTCCATCTTCCTCTACTATGACAAGTTCTTACTCCTACAGATTCTTCTAGTAGGATTTGAGGGCCTGGGAGATCTGGGGCTAAACCATACAGGTGAACACAGGTAAAAAGGACAATGAGTATCTCAGGCTTTTCCATGGCCTTTGTCACTAGGTCTCCAATTTGAGGCATATTTTGTGGGTATAAATAGCCTTTACTGTGTGTTACTTCACTTGCAATATCTCTACTAATCTGTTGGCTTTTTTTTTCCTCTTCTCTACAGCTGCTCTTGAGGGGTTGTGCTCAGCATCCGTCATCTATCACTATCCTGGTGGCACTGGGGGCAAAGTTGGCTCTCGCAGGGCACAAGGAGGTTCTCTCTCTGCTGAGGCAGGGAACAGGCACAGGCCAGGTAAGGATGGGATTTCACTTTTATTCTGTTTGCAGCCACTGAATGCCTGAAAATTTCATTCCTGATTCCTAACTCTGTAAAAACATACCAATGACAGGATAAACTGGAGGAGGGGGATGGGAGGGAAGAACTATATTTCTTTTGAGGATTTTTACATTAATGACTTGACTTTCCTACTGTTCTGGTGTTAATAGCAACACATGTGCTTTGCCTAGAGTTGCAAAGCTTTGGGTTTCTTCACCTGATAGCAGTGTCTGTGTTAGTTTGAGTTTTGCTGGAAGAGATGCAGACAGTTTTCATCAAGTACTTGTGAGGTGGCACAAATATGAAGAAGAACAGGTTGGATACATTTATCCAGAGGTGTTTTACTGTCCTAAAGTCAACATTTAATACATAGATTTGGTTATCAAAATACCAATAAATCAATATAATTTTCAAGATTTAGTATAGTTTTGTCTAAAGTTTCAGATTGCAGAAGAGGTGGCTGAGGAGAAATGAGTACTCTTTAATACAGTGAACATTGTGGGATAGGATGGATAGGGATCAGAGGTTCAGTGGGTTCCTTCAGTGGAAAAACTGGAGGATATCAAACAGAGGTAGGAGATGGAAAGCAAATGGAAGGAATTACTGTGTATCCAGTGTATAGGTGTGGCACAGAACTCCTTGTCACTGGGAGTTACCAGGTCTGGTAGTGTGCTAGAAGAGGTAAGGCTGCTGCAGCTCCATGTTCCCAGGTCCTGCCAGACATGAGGCTGAGCAAGCATTCCTAGCAGGCTGCAGGCACACACAGCCACACAGCCAGGAAACTCAGCACTCACGTGAACACAGGCAGCACTGACAGCCTGATCCGCTCCTCTCTTTGGCTGACTGGGATCAATGCCTGTTGGCAGTATGGATCCATCCTGGACCTGCTTTGAGTCACTCAGCCCATCCAGGAGCTGGCCACTGGATTGCACCAGTTACTGGACCCACAAGCCTCTGAGACCCAGAGCCCATTCCAGTTGCTTATCACCCTCTACAGCTACCTAAGAGATGGTTGGAGTCAGGTGGGGGTTGGTCTCTTCTCCCAGGCAACCAGCAGCAGGACAAGAGGGCACAGGCTCAAGCTCTGCCAGGGGAGGATTAGGTTGGATATTAGGAAGAGATTTTTTACAGAGGGAGTGCTCAGACATTGGAATGTGCTGCCCAGGGAGGTGGTGGATTCACCATCCCTGGAGGTTTTCAAGCTGAGACTGGATGTGGCACTTAGTGCTATGGTCTAGTGACCACAGTAGGGTTAGACTTGATGATCTTTGAGGTCTCTTCCATTATATGTTTCTATTATGCATACACCTACACACACACACACACACACACACACACACACACACACACACACACACACACACACACGCACTCCCCTCATTCCTCTGTTTTCCCATGCTTGTTCCCTAAACTGCATTAATCCCTCCTTTTCCTTATATTTGGTTATACCATATATATTCTTATATATATAAGAAATTT